GTATGTATCTTTCTTGAGTATAAACACACACTTTACAAAATACACATATACGAAAAAAAAACAAAAAAAAAAAAAAAAAAAACATTCAAATCAGACATGTCCAAGAGAACAACAAAAAACAAAAAGACCAAAAATAAAAAACCTTAATTGATAAAAATATATAAATGTCAGAAAATGTATATTCATATAATACGATAATAATTTTGATGTATTTTTATTGGCATCGTTAAACCCCCACACACAATCACATCCCCAAACCTATAGTAATGCACTGCATTATGAAATTTTCGCAAATTATTAAATTAGTCATAATATTATCTATTTATTTGTTGTGTTTTTTTTTTTTTTGTTTTTCATTCTCAATATTTCACATTAACTTATTGGCTTAAGTCGGTTTCATACAAAAGTGTTTTTTTTTTTTTTTTTTTTGATTTTTCGGAGAAAATCATTTATTATTATGATTGTTATTTCCTTAAATGTTAATTCAAATTAGCCTCTACGCGAATAAATGATTAATTTCATTCTTCATTATTAAGTTAGCTGTAACGCTTACGTAATAAACTTTTTTTTATTTCCACAAAAGAAATCTTTTGTCGATTATATATAAATCTTATCGTCACTCCGTATAATAAACACTCTCTCTCATTATTGCCGTATATATGCGCGTTCAATATTCGTCTTACGTACGCTAAGCAATTTGTCAACGTAAATCTGTACCTTTGCCGATTTCTTATCTTAGCCTTTATCGCTTATAAAGAAATAAAAAGTTTGTCAAGAATATATCAGATATGCATAGTTCTGCGTGGAAAAAATTTGCATTCCCTCACCCGTCGATCTACACGGCTGAAGCCATAGTAGCGAGCTTTTACGTATTTGCCACATATTTCATTTATGAGTAAAACTATAACGAAAATCCACTAAATCTCGAAAGCAAATTGTCTTAAAACATTTGACTAATCCCTATGATGCATCAAATATCAATTGTACTTTGATTTGATCTGCATATGTATTGTATTCGCGCGATGTAACGTATTCGCCCATGAAATTTGGCATCAATCAGTTCTGCGTTTATATGCCAGAAAAACCGCCAATGCAACTAAAAAGCTTCATTTTCTTTCATTTGCAAAATGCGGCTTAACTTTCTCACACGCTACGCATCTCGGTGATTGCATTTTTTTGAAAATTTCGCCTCGAATCTTACTGTTCGTGTACTATCAACGTGTAAGAAATAACTATGAGCAAGATATGTCGCAATATGTCGCGTTTACTTCGTAGCTTGATAGTCCATGACCTTTACTATGCCAACCCAATTACATTTTATTGGCAGATGACTCCCAAAAGTGTTTCCCATCTTAATATATATAATAAGTGGGACCGGAAGCATCATTTAAGGGTGGAAAGCACTGCAACAATCCCAGAAAGGAAGAAAATAAGTTTTGTTTAGAAGTGAAGGACACTTAAGAAAATAATAATATTCAAAGGGGTTTCGAGGACCTGACGAAGAAATGGTAAAATCGAAGCCATTCGCATTTGCTGCTGATCTCGTAATTAGTGCATATTTGTACAATATATTTCAATCTACATACATATAGCAGAAGATTTTGAAAAATATTGATTTTTACACGAGTTTTGAGTGAAAATTTTCAATTTTATTGATCGGAAAGGAACGCCTTTGGTACTTTCTTACTAAATATTGTTTAGATTAATATCGTAACTTGCTTAAATATTTTGTTACAATATAATATTACTTGAAAGATACTGAACAAAAAAAAAAAAAAACTCAAATTTGTTGACCTTATACAGTAAATCGTTTTGAAAAATCGTAATTCGAAAGAAGTCGTCTTGAAAATGTTGATATGTGTTGTAGATGTCGGTTGTATTGCAAGCAATGTTTTATTATGTTTTGCAATTAAACTGCAAGTGCCCGCCCGGACAACTGTCTGGAAACTGGAAGGTGTCTTTGCAAGTTTAAGAATTATTTTTTATTCCCTTTCCTTTAGGAGATGGCAAGCAAATTTGTGGTTCATTAGTCGAATTCAAAATCGATATTGAAATCCTTATCTTAAACTTCCAGTTTGTTGCCTTCGTTGTCATATCCATTCAATGGTCGTCTCAATGATGCTACACACATGGACTGTAAGGTTCCTTAAATAACACTAAAGACGTTCTCAAGTCATTTGTTAATGTATTGGAGAAATTAGAAATTAAAGTCTGCTGCTGTATCTTCTGCTGTAAGGACTCATTTGTCTGTCATAGGTGATCTTTTTGAAGTGTTTGGAGAAAAAGCCCGAATTTTCTTTTTGGTTGGTGCAATATTTTTCCACCCTTTCCAGAAGCTTCGAAGCCTTCTATTAAATCAGTAAATGAAAAAAAAAAAAAAAAAAAAAAATGTGTTTTCCTGAAAAATGTACAGTGATTTCCTCCCTTAATAACTGTTGAAATATCACTTAAGTGAGATTGGAAATTTTAACAAAATCTACAATATATAAGATTTAAGCCAATAATAAATATTAATATATTACACATATCATTACATTCCCTTATCAAACAGTTTTAATACTTTAACACTCTAATACCTGCCTTAACTATCTAAACGTATTCCATATAGCTGTAGCTATAGGATAGAGCAGCACTTTTTCTTTCTTCTGTTTTTAATATATAAAATTATTTTTTAATTTAACACACAATTAAAAAACCAATTATCATAAATAATTTAAATATGTTATCTTCTAATTCTTTTTCCCTAACCGCGCGTCCACCCCAACCTCTTAATATTGATGTTTACAAAAAAAAACAAAAAAAAAAAAAAAAAAAAAACAAATATAAAAAAAATTTCAAAGAACACTGATAACAACATAGATTTGCATTAATTATGCTGATTATGTTAATCTGAAGAAAATAAACGTCTAACAGTGCCCTGATAGAAAAGCATGGATATAAATAATTCAACTATGAACGACAAATGCAAGCAAAAAAGTAACAGTCAACTAATTAATTAAAAAGAAAAAAATAAAAATCACATAAACAAACATAAAAGAAAAAATTAAATATTGAATTGTCGCTACAACTGGCACTAAACGACATTCACCAATATTGCAAAATTCAAAAGAAAAAAACCCTAAAAGAAAAAACCGAAAACGCCCAAACTCATAACTAAATAAAATAAATTTAAAGGCGAAAATTTAAAAAAGAAATAAAAACGAAAAAAAAAAAAAAATTAGAAAATTAAACGAAACAATTTTATTACAATAACATCATCATAGTTAATCAATTCATCTACTCGTACAGCATACCATAAACAAAACTAATTAATTATAGCAAAGCATCATGATGATGGAAACAATGCCTCCCAGGTATATATCAAAAACATTTATCATGGAAAAAAATATAAGAAAAAAAAAAAAAAAAAACAATAATTTTAAATTTTCTTTAAATACTTTTTTAAAATTTTTTTTTTTTTTTTTTTTTTTTTTTTTTTTTTTTTCTATTCCATTTTCAAAAGCATTTGATTAAATATCATATTCGTATTCATTTGCTGTCATACATCTCTGCCAGAACAACAATTTAGAAGCACTCTCCATAACTCTGTTTTTGTTTTTTCGGCTTTCTTCTAAACAGCTCAATCAGAGCTCTAGAGAATTTTTGTTGCTTTCTTATTTCTACCGTCTTACACACTTATACGCAAATATTATAAATATTTTCTTTTTGAATCACGTATATGTTGTAGCAAAAAAGCAGTGAATTTGTTCCCGTGAAGCGGATGAAAAAGTTAAGAAAAAATGAATTCATAATCGGTGTGCGACGTGTCATCGATGCTCACCGTCGCCGTCAAGTGAGACAAGGGAAAAACTTATATTTTATAAGCAACTTCAAATAACCTTGAAAATGATTGTAGGAATTTCAAACTCCACCTGCCGTCAATTGGAATAATCGGATTGGCAAGAATACGTTTGCATATTCATTTATATTCCTTTCTTTTAATTGTTGCAAGCATTTTTAAGGCGGGGTAAGGCAATATATAAGGAAAAGGACGAAAAGACAAACAGACATTAATAAATGAACTCAAGCATACGACTATGCCAGGAAGTCTTTAGAAAGTGCCTCTAACCGAACCTATATGACCGAAATGCCCTTTAGTTAATTTGTTTTGTTAAACTGCTACTAAGGACCAATTTTTATCATAAAATATGAAAAGCTGAAACTTTTTCTGAAAAGTTTACTATTCATGAAAAATCTTATACGGGGTGGGATCTCAGAAATAGACCCATATAGTTCAAGCGTAGTTCATTTAATTTTTATATCACATAAATGAATGTAATGAACAAGTTTTCATCATAAAATATTAACAATCAGTCTTTAAAGCTTTTTATCTTATAAAGATTCAATTTTCATAAAATCGATTATATAAGAGAGAGTTAAAAAAAAATTTCCCCATCCGAAACAAAATTTTCATATTAAATTCGAATGTCAAAGTATTATTACTAAGCGCTTTTTTTCGAAAAATTTTGAAAATTTCAATTTTTTGTCCTCGGGTCATAACATGTCACTATACCAAATTTCGCCAAAATATCTTAAAAATTGCTCACTGTTGATTGAACGCATAAATACATGGATATATTATTTTAGACGGACAGACAAGCTTAGATCGATTCCGTAAATGATTCTGAATCGCGTGATACTATAGAAAATGGGCATATTTTAAGTCTTCCTTAGTGTTGCGTAGGTCCACACAAACTTAATCTACACAAGTGGAGTGGGGTATAAGAAGGATTTACTTGTATCAGATACAACGAAATGGCACGATGATTTGACATTTTGTTCGAAAAGTAAAACCTACTACATCTTGTTTTTCTCGCATATACACACTTATATATTACTATAGCGCATATTCACTAGCAAACACAGAATTTGTATATACGTCTGCCTAGCAAACGTTTGAGAGAATACAACGTCGTATCAAAAAACTATTAACACACAAATAATGAGAATGAAAGAGCAAA